TACTAGGCACAGTGTCTACACAGGGAGGTCAGTCTATGCTCACCACTACTAGCCACAGTGCCTACACAGGGAGGTCAGTCTATGCTTACTACTACTAGGCACAGTGTCTATACAGGGAGGTCAGTCTATGCTCACTACTACTAGCCACAGTGCCTACACAGGGAGGTCTGTCTATGCTAACTACTTACCACAGTGTCTACACAGGGAGGTCAGTATATGCTCACTACTACTAGGCACAGTGTTTACACAGGGAGGTCAGTCTATGCTCACTACTACTAGCCACAGTGTCTACACGTGGAGGTTAGTCTATGCTCACTACTACTAGGCACAGTGTTTACACAGGGAGGTCAGTCTATGCTCACTACTACTAGCCACAGTGTCTACACGTGGAGGTTAGTCTATGCTCACTACTACTAGGCACAGTGTTTACACAGGGAGGTCAGTCTATGCTCACTACTACTAGCCACAGTGTCTACACGTGGAGGTTAGTCTATGCTCACTACTACTAGGCACAGTGTCTATACAGGGAGGTCAGTTTATGCTCACTGCTACTAGGCACAGTGTCTATACAGGGAGGTCAGTTTATGCTCACTGCTACTAGGCACAGTGTCTACACAGGGAGGTCAGTCTGTGCTCACTTCAAGCCACAGTGTGTACACAAGAACATCCCACTACTTCTGCTTACTACTAGCCAGTGGCATAATCTTGTGTTCACACCAGCAATTCTTACAAGAGACATAAATATAGCATAATCTGCACTATGTTACTGACTCGTAGACATGCAATGTTTTGTTATTTACATACATTAATTGTGAGCCTGTTTTACATTGAAATAAAATCAAAAATCAAATCCAGTTGACTGTGGCACTCAAATTTAGTTTAGAATCCCAATACACTTACAAAACTTGCCTCTTCATATACGCTGACGTAATGTGCTTACCAACTATTACGTAATATACATGTACCACCCCTTCAAGGAGGTTTAAAATCTGCCATTTTAATTCAAAGTATTATTCTCTTACAAGTATGTTGATGTAAAGGGACACAAAACTTATGTGAAGATGATATAACTACTAGTCTAAGTCAAATGGAGTCAATGTCAATAAACAAGAGATATAGCAAAGATAAGGGCTGTTTAAATAGACATGATGTATAAACTCTTTTAGTAGCTCATGTGTTCACACAGATGACAGCAGTATGTCTATGGCCAAAAAAAAGTAATATTACAATTATACAGTTAATGTAACTGACGCTTTACATCACTTCTATTGGTGATGTGCTTCTATTGAAAGAAATATGTATCCTGAGTATCCTGAGCTCTACATTACAGTAACCATTATTTGTTATATTACTAAATGACTGGTGTGTCTATGGTCAAAATAACACAACACAGCAATGTAATTTCATGATTCCAACAAATTTAAGACAATGATTCACAGTGACTTTCACAAAATGTATTTACAAATGCCCTCCACTTTAGAAATCGACAAAAAAATGAAAGTAAATGTCAGACAGAATATTCATAAACCTTTTACATAAAAACCTTGTAACTAGCAAACTCAGAACTATCAACTGCAGATAAATGCAATTTTACACAATTTTTGATTTTGTACCATTGCATTATATTCTAATTATATGAAAAAAGTACAGGAACTATCTGTCAGCTAAACTGCTAAAGTGGGCGTGGCCCTCAATAGGTCAGAACCAGATCAATCTCCATGTCATTACAAAGAATAACTAATGAGTGTTCATTCAATAACTACATATACATACTGGATCTTTTGTTTGCCAGAGTAGATCAGTGCTTTTCTAAAACAAGCAATGGGAAATAAGTCAAAAGCCAATTTTTTAAAGTTACTTTTCCATTTTCACTCACAAAACAATGTCTGGAAATGTACATTTTTTATTTTTTTAGGAATCATGGAACATGTACAATACATCCAAGCAGCTAGACCATGGAAGGTAATATCTAACATGTACAAAATAATCAGTTATTATAATGCACTATGCATTTCCTAAGTTCAGATAATACATTTTTATCAACACTCTGATCTTGAAAAATTATTTCAATTCAAAAAAAGCCTTTTGAGAGATTACAATAGGAACATCAACGGCACCATGACATCTTGGGGAGTGTGATTTAAAGTTAGTGTAGGTATATACATCATTTGATAGGACCAATGACAATACTTTTGGCACACTATTATAAAGTTAAGTTTGGTTGTTATTAAGCCTTCCAGAGAAAACTAATCCTAAGCCATAATCAAGAACAACTCGTATCTTTTTAAATACAACATATTTCTCTCTTTTTTTTATCTCTGACTTGTTTTTACATTTTATTACATCTAAATAGATTTTTCCAATTTAAATAGTGCATAATAATTATATTATTGTTATGTTAGTTAAATTATTTTTTGTACTTTAGGAGTTGAGTACATATACCCAATAGATTAGGACATTCTTGATGTCTAGGTTGGGAGGTGATAACAATCTACTAGTCTCAACATAATTTTGTTTGTACAAATGACAAATTGCTACTTGCTACATTAACTTATTTTAGGGAGGGAATGCCTTTATGGTAACTTTAAATGCCACTTTATTTGAAAACTTTTCAATGAAGTACTTGTATTGTATACACAGATGCATATATCCACAATACCCCCATCACACCCCTCCCCTCCCCAGGGTGTTTTGGCAATATATAATGTATAATCATTTGAATGTCCTTAATAAATTAGATTAGTTAGGAATGTTGACTGCAACCGATTGTATATTTCCCTGTTTATTCAACGTATTTCCTTTTCTTGTACGCGTATGACCGAAGCAAAGTACAATAAAGCGGTGACCATGTCGAATGAGCGCATGTGTCAATTTATTTATTATGTCGAACAATCCTTACAGTGTTAAGTGAAATTTATATTAATTAAACTCACCGCTATTAATACAATGAAGGAAACAGACAATGTACCGAAATACCTTGAAGGGGCCCTCAACTCGACATCGCACGGGAAGAGGCCATTAACGCCTTTACTTGTCAACCTGCCCATACTCAACGAAAACTTACCTTCTTTTCGTCCTTATCTGTCATTTTCTGGAACTTGGATTCGTTGTCGTCACTTTGACCCACAGTCATGTCAGTCTTTTTGTCATTATTCACTTGGATAGGAGGACTCTCTGGTTTGTTGTTAGTTTCGTTTGTTCTAACACTCTCTCCGAATGGCGTGCGAGTCTCTCCTTTCACGCCGTTCACTTTCGCGCTTTCCTCCATTTTATCGTCCCCTCCCTGTGTAAAACAAAGCACAATCGAGCTAAATCAGAACTTTTTCAATAATATAAAACTCACATATGAGACATCCATGAGCACACTTTCGCTCAGTTACACAGGATTCCCAATGACAGTGGCGTTGACACCCCGTACCAACCTTCACGAAAACACGGTCACACCCAGCCCTACTGAAAATCACAGATCATTTCCAACCACCTACCGTCTTCTGTGCGTTGATAGGTTCGGCGAGCAGGCTAGCATGTTTTCTGTTTTCTACACTATCCGTCTGCATAATAAACTAGCAAGATATTAGGAAGTTATCGTGTTAAACTAGATCACAGCGATAAATATATACAAGACCCAAATCCACGATGGAGGTGCGAGCAACTGATAATGGCACACAACGTAAACAAATCACACGTGCTTGTCAGTATTCTCTGTATACACAGACGGGGATTCGAAGTCGCTCCGTAGTCACATTTCATCAGACGACGAGAAGTATACCATAACAATATCTTAAAATTGGAAAAAAAAAAATTTAGCGTTTCTATTGCACTCAATGCTTATAATAAACAGTCGGGATAAATATTCGAAACATGGTTAAAATGTTTTAGAGATCTTCATAATTAAAACAAAATTGGAGGATGAATAAAAATTATACAAACATTATATTGTTACACTATATATATATATATATGTGTGTGTGTGTTTGTGTTCAGGTATATATAGCCGCTTAAGCTATGTGTATGACAATAATTCTTTGCGGTTGAAAGAGCAGTGAACATATTTGTGTAATGAAACGGTCCAAAATAGGATTACTTTAATATATATAGCGGTCACAGAATAACAAATCGAAGTAATATTTATACCAGTCATTATAATTAACGTACTTAGATTAAAGTTTTTATAGTTTGTACATGGTATAATGGTGTACCCAAAATAAACATAATTATTCACAAATACCAAGCGAACGTTAGCAATCCGTTGTTTTGTTCGCATGGGGGCGCTGTTTTGAAAGTGCTGATTTGAAAGCTGATTTGCGGCGACGACAACTTGAAACCACACAGTGAAGGACCGTAAAAAAAGCAAAAAAGCGTGTATGGTAAATAGCATCGAGATTCTGTTACGACATTTTTATGCGGTGCGTTCAGTACCAATGTTATTTGTATCTGCTTTATTTGAGTGTTGTTGTTTTGTTTTGTAAATAAGTAAGTAAATAAATAAATAACTTTATTGATTTCGTATCCTTATTGGGATCTTGAAAATAATAAAATAAAGAATGTTGTTTAAATAAATAACAACTAGCTAAAAAAGTAACAAAATAAAGTAAACAACTAGATAATTCGATTTAAGCTGACATTTGTTTATTGTTTTTGCACGAAATTTACATTAGTTTGACCACAGTCACCTCCGTCTACTTTTTGTTTTGTTGAACGTCCGCATTTAGTAACTCGAGTGTTAAATAACAGTTAACCGAATTTCGAATTACGGGAAACATAATTAAAGTTCTAGTTACTAAATGTGGACGTTAAACTATAGTAACAAAGATCGGCAAACATTCTGGAAGGAAGCTACTGGGTATTAATATTCACGTCACTATTTGCATATAGATGTTTTTTACAAAAATGGGCATAATTCGCATGACAATGTTCATTAGTTTATCATGTACAATCATGAAGTTAATGTTCTATGGTACAATGAAATAGCATTATTTTGTGTGTTACAGATTTTTGAGAAACGTGTTCTAATATTTCTTAAAAATCGCTATTTTTAGAACAATTCCATAGAACACAATGTTAAAGAAAAATTGCATTTTTTGACACTTTTTAAAACCCAGATTTTCTAAATAATTCAGAACAACAAATAGTACTCCATCATTAACAATATATTGTTTAGCCTATGTCGCCAGGCTAGATTTTGAGATAGTGCATAATATCTCTGCCATAGGAACCAACTGTCACTGTGTTTATCTGCCATGCTTATCCACAGAACTGTTCTAAGTATGTTAATTGAGTCAAATTGTTCCCAATCACTAAGGTTAAAGTGGAGCAAGACTAGCAAAGTCCCACTGACTGCATTCTTTGTTTAATAGATGCCAGGATCTCGATGTTTCAAACAATCATTTCGATTTTAAAAGACGTCACTCGACAGTCTTGTTCATCTTTGCATTGAAATAAATTATTACACATTACAATTATTTCAGAGGTCAAGTATTTGTTTGCTTTTTTGATGCATTTAATATAATTATTTATAAGGAAATCATACTGGATACATATAAAATATAATCGTAAAGCGTGAACTTACAACAATATTTACTGTATATTCAGAAATAAACAACTTTTATCACGATTACTATTTGTAAAACATTAATTAATTGTACACTGTATATAATTACCCTGCATGAATAACTTGATTTGACCATGAAGGTAAATTTACCTCCATGATTTGACAATTGACGGATTTACGTATTGTGAAGTGTGATACAATAAACTACTGGGGTTCAGCCTTCAGGGATCTCTCGTATGCACAAGTGCTTGGCCACGATTAGATATAGTTCGTTGTTCGGATCTTGTGCGCGTATTGGACGAGTTAGTATCAGGCTAACCTAATAGATCGGACGAAACAATTTTGAATAAACTTGTGGGACGAATCGACTTCGGGACGAATAAACTTGGGACGAGTCAACCTGTGGGACGAATCGACTTATACTGAATGTGATTTGGGACGGATCGACCGTCCACCAACACAATGTGATGAGTTGTACTAGTATTGGTTTCTTATCAATTGGTATTCAAGTTAAAACCAAATGTTATCTCACGCTCATTCAATGTATCCAATGGAGTCAGACAAGGCGGTGTTCTGTCGCCAACTTCGAAAGCTTTTGATAATTTCCTCATCTCTATTTTCAAGTAATATGAATATTCTAAATGCACAGTTAAATAAACTTCCTAATGGATGTCTTATTGGCAGTAAAATTATTACCGGTACTATATCAGTGGATGTGGATGTGAATGACATGTGTTTACGAAGCGCCCTCAGTGAAATCTGCGTCTAAGATCCTAGGGTCACGTGAAACAAGAAGGATTATTTGGACATTGGCCACCACTGGGGTTTATTTTATGAATTTTGTGAACTCTAGCTATAAAGATAATTGTCTTCTGTTTAAAACTTACTGTTATATTATTTATTGTTCTCAACTTTGGCGCTTTTTTTAAAAACATACTTGTCTTTGAAGGTTTCTTATACTAGATAGATTAATCGACAAATTTAATAATACCAACTTTAACAATACCAACTTTGACAATACACAACATTCTGTAGATACAGCAACTAATTCATTATCAAATATTTACCATGAGGCAGCTGGTAGGAGCTTAAAAAACGCATTTTCAGTAAAAAGCATAAAGATGAAGAAAAACATAAAAAAACAAATAAACCAAACTTGCTATTTTGAAAAAGGAAGTACAGAAGCTCTCCAGAGACTTTGTCATAATGCTTACAACAGAGAATTAGGAAATAAATGCTACAGCTTAAAAAAATCTAAACCTAATGAATATTGGGACCTTATAGGCAAATTAAAAAATACTACTAATAATAACACTTGCGAAAACATTCATTCGGAGAAATGGTATAACTTCAAATAATTAAATTATGAGAAAGTCAACAGTAACAAAAACGGTGGTGACACATTAGCCGAATTAGAATCTAACTTCTTGTCTACGAACAGTCTGGATCAAACTTTATCCCAGCTAGAAATACATAAAGCAATAAACAGTCTAAAAATAAAAAAAGCACCCAGGGTAGACTAAATTACAAAGGAGATGATCAAGGCAAGCAGAAATACATTAGTCCAATCTATTCAAAAACTGTTCAACATGATCTTGTCATCTGGTCACTTCAAGTTCCCTAGTAGCTGGAATTTGGGAATTATTAGTCTGGTCTTCAAGAAGGGAGATACAAATGATCCTGGTAACTATCGAGGTATTACGCTTCTGAATACATTAAGCAAACTGTTCACTTCTGTATTAAAACAAAGATTAGCAAATCACCTAAAAGAAAAAAATATAATTATTAAAGAACAAATTGGCTTTATGCCCAAGTTTAGAACAGCAGATTACATATTTGTTCTAAAACAACTCCTTGAAAATACTTCAGTCAGGGAAAAAATATATAAGCATGCTTTATTGACTTTCAAACAACTTTCGATTCTGTTTGGCACGAAGGTCTGTTACT